TGGCAGTTGACTGTATGTGCTCCTAATGAATAAAATGTAATAAAGGAGAGCAGAATTATTTATGGGCACGAGCGCGGTCAGCAAAAAGGACATGCAATTCCGATTAATGCCGCCGTCCCAACTTAGCAACTTAGTGGGCGGTCCAACTGAGCGGGCGTTAGAACTAGAACTTTCAGCGGCTGTAGCTCGCTCCTCGCTCGCTGTGGAGTCGCGAGAGTGGGACAGTCTCTAGCTTGGGGGCTGGACTACTTGCACAAGGAAGGACGACCATGTACTACTTGAGCGCGGGAGCTGTCTTTAAGAATGAGAAACCCGTTTCTCCACTAAGTATTCGGTTCGCTCGCCCCTCCCGGTGCTCGGTCCCCCTAAGCCCACGCAACTCCCCATCTCGGTGCTCGCAGACATACCACCATCTTCCGAAATTGGATGCTGGATGCCATCCGCCGTCCTAAAAAAGGAACTGAAGCCTACGTCATATTTTGATGGTCCTAGGAGGAGCTTTCATCAGAGCTCACTGCTCTTTTGCTGGTAACTCACTCGCTACAATCAATGCGGACACTCATAATTATGTGTTAGGAGGATATGGTTATCGGATTGAACCTGTCATCAGTAGGAACAGCAAAGATGAAAACGATGTTTATTAGTGGAAATATGACGGAACAGCGGTCAGATAAACCAGTACAATGTATATGTTAACAAAGTAAAACAGACTATCACTCGGTCGGATAGAATTTCTTGTTAACGTAAGAAAAATTCAAAGGAACTTAGTGACCGCCGTACCCATGCGCATGACCACCGTGACAAAAAGCAGGGCCAAATGCAGGGCAGTGACCATTAGGAACAAAAGGAGGGTGATAGCCCTTAGGACCAACAGCGGGGAAATGACCACCGTAACCAAAACCGTACCCATGCCTATGATCAAATCCATGACCAGGAAGGGGCCAGCATCCGCATCCAGAACCCATCACAGGGTGAGCGAATGGTGGGCAAAAAGGACCACAGTATGGGGGAGGAGGGAGAGGGGGAGGAGGAGGAACATAAAAGCGAGGAATTCCGTGACCACGGCTATGCTTGGGTTACTATTATCGTAGCTTCCAAAGTGATGAGGACGGTGTCCAGGAGAGTGGCCACTTTTTCTGGAATTCTCACTGGACGATGAGCGATGCTTGTGGACTTGGTGGCCATGAAATTGATGCCTAGAGTGGTGATGTCGCCCTGGACCGAAGTCTTCCTCACCAAAGCCCGGGCATCGGTCACCATTCGGGCCGCGAGCAAACAGCACAGGGCTTCTCCCACGTAACTTTTCATCACTTACCGCTTCTGCAACTGCATCTGAATCCTTCAGCTGGAGCGGCTCATTGTCACGATCTGTCGCGTAGACATTTGCCATTGGAATGCCCAGGTCGTTCAGCCTCTTTTTGAGCGATTCAAATAGATCTTCTTTGTCGCTGTAGCTGATGCTAATAACAGCTCCATCCAGATGGACCTTGAACGAGACGGTCCTTAGCCCTGGCTGAGCAGTATCGGATTTTTCAGACATAACAGGAGCGTAACTTCGAGTACAGCCGACAATGGTGTCGTTGGGAGGTGCTTGGGTGCGCGGCTGTCTGACAATCGATGATGGTGACTCAGCGCTGCCGTGGTTCTGCGAAGTGCACAGGGTTTTTCAGCTGTAATTCAACGTTTACTGACAAAGTCACAGTGTATGAGGTTACTGTTTCGCAATTAACTTGCTCGCCAAACAGAATTTCTTTGAAGAACCAAGGTTTTCAGGGAGTGCCCTATGGGTCCGATCCGCACGTGATGAGGTTTATGTGTAAATCACAGGACGCCTTTCGCACTAAAATGGTCGTGCGAGGAGAAGAATTGTTGAGAGTACTTAAAATGGCTCGTGCGACGCGAGAAGGAAGTTGAATGCAGGGCTCTGCGTGATGGAGACAACGCTGAACTCAGAGTGCTCGCTTACACTGATAGTGAATCCACCACTGCTAGACTCTCCGATTATGGTCATAACTTCGGCGATCTTCCGATGGGTCGCTCACATTGTGCGGGCTATCTGGCCTCAGGATCAGAGCGATAGGCGCCAGTAATCGTGCTCGATTGCATCGCAGGCGCGAACAGAGCGACTTAATCGCGAAAAATGAAGCATACACCCTAGATGCGCGTTTACGTGTTACCTGCGCAATTATTTCGGTTTTGGGATTCGTTTTCCATGCACCTCCCGCTTTACGGCGGAAGACTCTTGCAATCGTGCACTCAAGACCGGCATCAAAGCATCCGAAGGAAGAAAGGCTGTACACCGAACCAGTAAGCAGCCGTTCATAATATCGCGCACAGGCAGCGGCGATCCGCGCGATTCGAACTAGCAAAATCCGCTGCAAAATCGATGCGTATCTAGTCATTCATGTCGCGTATTTTGTCGTCACTACAAAGGAGTCGTGAACTATTAACATAGCCCTTCAGTAACAAGTTGCGACGGTTGTAAGAACGAAATTGAAATAAATCAACCCTGGACAGGATTCGTGATGTAAAATGGAGAACGGACCATTACCATTATGCCAGCCGCGTTCGCAAGCAGGCGAAAAAATGTTGTTATTCGCATAGGACCCAGTCGGTTAGTAATGCCTTGCGTCGGTTAGCTAGGAAATTCTGCGCTACTCTGCATGCTAGGCCTGCGGACTGGAGCCTAGCGATCTTGTTCGCTGCAGATGTTGTGGCGTTCTAGTGGGCTGGATTTCGCGTTGCAGTTTTCCACCAATTGCGACACCCGCCAGCGTCCACATAATGTTGACACTGCGTGACATCAAAGCATTCCGAGCGAACAAGGCCTGTACACCTAATCAGTAGGGCAGCAGTTTCATGACTTCGCGACATAGCGGCGATGCGCGGCGATTGGACCTGCAAACTGCATAAATCGGTGCGGTATCTCAGTCTTTGCTCGGCGTATTTGCGCACTTACAAAAGGGAGTCGTGAACTTACAACATAGCCCAGACTGGGGTGCCACACGTGAATCGAAGGCATCTGGAGCAAACTCTCGCATACTTGGAAGGAAGGGGGCTGAGTTACCATAAAGAAGACGGGAATATCCAAACAGGTCACCTAAGCGCCTGAATCCCCTCAATACCCGGTTCCGGGCGGAGTTCAATAGGGTGGTCTACGGTGGCGGAGAAGTCGACTATCTCGCTGATCTCAGGCACCACATCGCGGTCGCGTGCCAGAATCTCTCGATGGCGCTCGTCCAGAAGGCTGTGGCGGAGTGCCCTGACAGTATTTAATATGCTCTTTAATATGATGTGAAAAATGTCCGTCAGATATTAAAGGTAACCATGAGCCGCTGCGGAAGTTCGAACTGAAGAAAAGGACTTTATTGCCACCCCCTACATGAGGTTATAACGTTTTCACCAGTTGATGTTGCGTAAAATGATTAGTGTTTTGGTTCCTAGGTGAGTTTCTTTCTGTTTCTTTTTTTTCTTCGTTGTTTGAACTCGACCTGTAAGCTATAAATGTTTGAGTTGGAGCAGTTCAGACGATATGAACTTTCAAGACGCTTGTATAAGTTGAAACAATAAAAACAAAAGAAAAAAAGAGAAGCTCACTCAGAAATCGAGCTGGCCTTTATCCCTACCTAAAAAGGAGTGAACCTTCTTCACCTCATATTCGCAGATCGACCCTTGGTCTGTAGAAAGTCGTAACCTATCAGTTAGTAGCCATTAAGAGAAAAGAAGGTCTCACAAGTTGGATTCCCTTATTTATCAAGCGAGCAGTCCATAATAGCGTTGGGGCGCGCTCTGCCACGTACCGACGATCGCGGCGATCGCCGAGGTTAAGCCGGCTGCTCGTCGCGAGTATGAACGCTGCCTAAGCACTATGCGTTGTACGGGAACAAGCTCGTGGTTTATTATTCTGTTTTCCTTTTCCTAACTTGATTACTTGCTACCTGAAAATAATGAAATTTCAGGTGAACGCGCAAAACAAAGGAGGAGCGACGGCATTACATTTTGCGGCTCTAAATGGAAATGCCTACCTTGTCGAGCTGTTACTCAGCCATCCAGGCATTGATATGGTGAATAGAATTGAACTTAATGTTGAATCTTTTATTCTCTAGACTATAGTAAATGACTTATTGAGAAAACTCCACATAAGGCAATAATAATGGTAACATTTCAAACACAAAAAAATATTGAGACGAAACTCTGCAGATACATGGCGAAACGGCATCATACGAATGTGTCGGAATATTGAGGCTTACCCCGCAGGCCACGATACAAAGGCGACTTGATCTTTATCATGCCCTGCTCGCCTGAGACATTTACAGGACGCTGCTGGCGCTGACGGTGGGGTTGGGCGGAAGGGGGGGGGGATACTGTTGCGCCGCGGTGACTCTGATCGCCTGTGCTATTCACTCGGTTTGGAGATGAGCGCGCAGACGAGCAGCCATTGCTTGCCATAATTCTCCCCTTCACTATGTCTAAAGCTGTTGAGTGGCCGTTTCAGATTTGGCCGATGGACGCCGCACGACGCTTTACAATTACAAAAGCGCTCTGTAGACAGTAACGGAGCCGCGGACCGGTCTTGTCGATCGTTCCCGGTCTGCAAGCACGTAATCAATTTGCGCCGGCCGCTTGTGTTGCGAAAGAGTATGAGGGAATAGGATGGAAGGTTCTGCCCGCAGACTGGCATCGCAACACCGGCCGTCTGCGGCGGCTGGGTTTGCGTTATAGACCGGAGCGCTGTTGTAATTGTGGCGTGTCGACGTGCTTTACAGTGCATTACAGCGCGTCCTCGCGCGTTACAGTGCGTCACCACAAAGTCTGAACGCTGCCTTGGTTTTCACTCTGGTTCCCCCTCCCTCTTCATCTTATTTGGGTATGCTATTTACAGAATTTACGAAATCGTGATGGAAATCGAGCAGTCGATCTATGCAAAGATGTTCCTAAAAAAGCCTGGCAAGATGTGGCGAAGTTACTTACAAATTGGAAGAAGCTTGAAAAAATACAAGTGAGTTGAGAATGGCGCAATTTTTACAACGATCTGCTATAATCTGATATTATCCGATAGGTGGACTTCCTGGCAGCCGGTAATGTTATGGTCCAACTTACTGATGGCGCAGAGACGCCTACTAGCGCTATCCTGGCCGAAATCGGTCGCGAACTGAACATTGAAAGCGGCCAGCTAAAGGTGTTCGCCCTGTGGGTGTGTTCGGAAAGTCTAAGTGAGTTACCAGTTCATCTATCGCCACTGCTGTGATCATTTACAAATCGATTTCTGTGCAGGTCTCCAGTTGAAGCCTGATCACAAACCGCTGGCACATCTAAACGTGAAGAAATGGCGGGCTAAGGTGGACAAGTGGACGGATCAGGAGAACTCCCGCGAAAAACCGCATCTAGTCCTTCGCCGCAGCGCGCATGCATCGCTTTCGACGGAACTGAAGGTGTAGCTGATTTTTCTTTTCCGGATTTTGCCGCAATTGCGATTTTACCCTTGCTACTATAGCTGATGTGGGCTACGTGGACTCTGGTCGTCTGCGCTCTACAGCGGCTGAGCATGAAAAAGGATCCTTCCATCGCTCCACCACGTAGGCATCCATCAACTGTAGTAGCGTCCATTTGCCTAGCACATCCAAGCTGATATACAAATCAATCAACAAACGACATAAAGTACAAAATATAAGAAATAGCTATCATAATCAGTATATAAGGAGACTAGTAAATCACTACAATGGAACCGTTCAGCATGTCACCGTGTTACATATGAAAGTGTCTGAATACAGCGGAATCAATCGATATGTCGTAGCATAGTTTCCAATAATGAGATACGGTACGGCACTTTTTGTGAATATGCACGAATACACCACGACGAGGTACCGTACTCCATGGCTAGCAATCGAAAGAATGCTCTTACACTGTATATCCTGGCGATGGGGAGGGCGTGACTGCGCATTTCATCTGAACATGGCGTAGGATGCGCTTTTTGCAGGATACTTTTATTTGGGACAACAACTGTAATCCTGTTTAATGCTGTACAAAGGCATGACTAGAACTGTGCCGGAATGACAGTATCCCACCAGAAGCGCAGAGCCGCCACGCTCAAATAGAAGGCGCGGCCACGCCTTCCCCATTTTAGGGATATGGAGTGCATATATATGTTGAGCGCCTCTCAGCACTTTAAATATTTAAAGGGGGGGGGGGACAGCAGAAGTACCAATGCTACCGTAATGGAACTGGTTCTGGAACTTTCATTCAGACAGTCTCCGCTAGGACATGATTCGCTGCATACCTGAAAGTATGAACTACTGGTAGAGCGAATAAATCAATAAGACAAGAAGGGTATTGTTATGTGTGTGTGTGTCTGTGTTACCTCTACGAAGAGTGTGGACGTTTCTCGTCGAACAGTCCCTGTTGAGGGTTCCTTTGCAATTAGGTGACGGACCTAAATCGAGGCCAGTACTACTTTCGTTCAACCTTTAATCACCATTTATAGTGGAGGGGTGGAAGGGTGTCTAGACTGCAGTGTTCACGAGAAATTTGAATCTATTTGAACGGTATTAGCCATCCTGTTCAATGGAAGAATGCCATGTTTAGCGTTGGATGTTCGAGGATCAGCGCAAAAACCCAAATTACCTGTAAAGGGCTAAAGCCGCTGGTGCTGATCAATTTCTTTTCGGATCAACTTGTGCACTCTTTTTCCACCTATAGTCGGCTCTTACTCTGACTTATGAGCACGACTTAGCCTTTAAGACGGATGACGAGATTCGATGATGTGCAGACCTATTTGTCCTTTGAGGGGGTATATGAACGTATTTCTCCTTCACCAGACCAGTATGACACCAGTACATCAGCGCAGCAGGGTCGAACTAATTGGCTTTGACGGGGTCAAATTGGGGTCTCAACCTCCCTGTACGAGTGATGAGCAGGCCACTTTGTTGGTACTATAACAGCTCCGCCGCTCAACAGATTATTGTGTAGTAAGAAGACCTTGCAGCATAAACTTTCCTGACTCGGTGCTCGAAGGTGATGTAGCAGAAGGACAGACCAACCGCACAATTGCAATTGTTAGAAATATGTGCGTTTATTTGACCTTTTTGCGCTATCCGCACCGCGAACGTGCGCGTCTGGGCATACCATTTCTTCCCAAACGTAGTGAACGAGATCTCGCCTTCGTGACCGACTTTTCCAAGAACAGGCTATCGGCACGCATACTGAGGCAGCTGATGTGGGTTCATTTCGAGGGACTGGTGAAGATTTAAGTTTATTCTCGAGAGGGTTACACCATCGTTCTGGTTTTCAGAACATCAGGCAATATGTTGTTTGACATTGTGGTAATCCTGTGGGAATAGAAAGAGAAGAAACTTCATCAGTACGTTGATTAGATGGTAATGACTCACCTTGCGACTGATCTTCGAGTTGTACAATGTACATCCCGTCACATCTTCAACTCCACCACATTTCCGTTCAGTGACGACACGCTCTAAATTGGGAAGGTTTAACCAATATCAGTTTGAAAATTTCGCATTGCATAATTATGGGCATGGCCTGACGCATCATCAAAAGCGAGAAAGGAGGCTTGTCGTCACGTTGCCAATAGAGTGCTATCTTCCTGTTACTGCTATGCTTACTATTTGTGCCACTCGAAATCCTCAAGATGTGGTAGGTGCTGGTAGTTGCGATGGCTGTGCTTTTGGACAGATATTTTCACTGTGACCTAATTGTGGTCGTGTCTCTGTCCAACAAAAAACAAGATGACAGTTGTCTCAGACTAAAGTATCCTCACGAATAGCCCATTCTGTGCCATGTTCGAATGCCACGCCTAATCCGTTCCAGAGATACGAAAAGTACGCAGGCGCCACGAGGAACGTCCTGCGTTGGAAATTCTCAGCGATGGGTCGTATTGGTTGAGAAAAGTGTTTGACTTTGACTTTTGCTCGGTGCATTCCTCTTTAAAGTGCGCTATACATCCCTTCTGACTGCTGACGTTCTTGGTTAAGTCTTGTTTTAAACGCGCTATGTGTCCCTCCCCCTCCCCGCCCCTCCACCTCGACGCTAGCTTTTGGGGAGAAACGGAAGTGGTTGTTGAATGTTGTGAAATTTTACAAAGATGGTCGGTAGGATAGAAGGTGGGGAAGGGATTCGTCACATAGGAGGAAATTCTGAAGGAGTCGTAAAATTCTTCCCCGATGGCAATGCTGTCCTGAGCGGCAACAGGTTATTTGTGGCATCAAATTTCAGAGTGCGAAATTCGCTTCACCTCAATATGAGTATGGGTGCGGTATCTTCCTAATAATCTGATTCCGTGGGCGATCTACCCGGGTTGTGTCTTCTTCTACATTTAGATATACATCAAATTAAAGAAATCATCTTCCTTCAATTTCTTCTGCATTTCAACGCTCGCTGGAACCCCCCGTCTCCATTCCTTCTTTCCCGAACCCATTTCCCATTCAAGTGCTTAACTGACACTTCAAAAGAAAGGAACTCTTTCATAGTAAAGTTCTCATTAGGTTTGCAGTTATGAGCAGACTTTCAGGGTCTTCCTATTTCCTACCCCTCTTTTATAGCCCGACTGAATTCAAGTTGTCACGTCGAGACACCAGTGGTTCCCATGTCCATATTGTCGACCCCCTTGACGAAAGGATCCACTTGGGTGTTGGCGTGCCGTTGCTAATTTCACACAATTAGATGTCGCACATGGATATATGGGACTCTGAACACCGCTCGGCGCGGTACTTATTAAAGGATGCCTAATTAGACTGGCATCACGGTGGATGGATTTACCCCGCCGCCACCCAGCGCCGAGAACAATACGCTGTTTATATGGAGCGAAAGGCATAGGCATAGAACATAGTTGAGTGGTGGTATTTTAGATAATTGTTACCAGTTGATGAGGTGCAGTAGGCACAATAATTTGGTTCTCTGCAGAAAAACGGAAGCAGAATCACTCTGTGGTACGACAGCAAGAACGGGACGAAGCGGCTTAAAACGCCCGAATTGGGGCCCTTAATATCGCTGCAATCAAGAACGAGTGTACGAGTGTACGCCTTTGCCTTCAAGGGTGCAGACAGAGTGTGACATCAGCTTTAAGTATTGTTGTTCACATTGTTTGGAGAAATGCTTATTGCACTGGGTTTGCGTTTACATGGAGGGTTTGCTGGAAAAACGCTCATCAGATGTTTCACCGAATTACAGGGCTATCGCTGTTGGGGAATCCCCAGTAGGGGGGGGGGTCGTATTTGGCCGCAGGAGAAGGGGGGGTCGTATTTGGGCTGGGAAAAATTTATTTTGATAGTTGATTTTTCTCGCTTCATGGACGTTGTAAAGGGGGGGGGTCGTACTTGGTCATTGTTGGGAGGGGAGGGGGGGGTCGTATTTACGTTTGGCGTGTAGGAGTGAGTGGTTGACTTCTGCGTGATTTCCTGTTTACATTTGCTACTTACCCACCGCTCGTATTCGATGAGGTCGAACGGAGGCCGAGTGGGAGGGGGCTCGTTTCCCACCCCCCCCCCCAAAAAAAAGGAGGGGGTCGTACAGAATCCATCAAAATCCCCAACCATATGATGTGCGCCCACCGAGTTAGCATAATATAACTGAAATGAACAGCGAACAAGTGAAGATGATAAGCGGTATAAGAGCAGTGGCTTGAAGTTAGCCTTGGCCAGTTACGCCCTCACATGTTCGGTGAGTGTGCGCTGTCAGACCCCTTTCTCCTTCAACATAAGGCTCATAGTATCAGTACCATCTTGGAGGACTGACAGTATCCTATCCACTGAAGAGCCTAAGGGGTAGGGGGGAATGACAAGTTGATGACGATAGTGTTCGTCGGGATAAGGAGCGCAACGAACCACCTCAATAACTTCCCCTGTATATCTCTAATTTAACATATTTCTTTCTTTTCTTTTCTATTGGCATGTCATGGCGATGAGGACATTTTCCACCTATGCACCCTCCTAGCTATTGGAATGCGCTCGATTACTAGAGACCATTTTAACTCGATACTCTATTCCCCCTTCTGGCTGCGCGCTGAGAATCTCTAGAAATCTTTGAAGAATTTCCACGTCTGTCCCTCACGGAGATCCCTACCAAAGCCTCATGCGACTCACTTCCCCAGCAACTAAATACGACTCCTCTCTCTTGCGTTCATACATGTTTACGAGGTCGAGAATCTCTGCTCCCAAGCGCTTGAACGAACCTAAGCGGTCCCAAGAGGCTTGTTCGTTCGCTTGCAATAAAATTTCACAGATTTTGAGTTGCTTCTGCTTGCTGCCTGTTTGCTCGGACAAGTGGAAAAGGCGTAATGTCAGATGTTGATCACTTTCGAGGCAGGGATAGTCCGAGTGGTGAAGAGTGTACACTCATTAAATCTCACTTAGCACGGAGTTCCGATCCCTTCCGAGGCCAAACCTGCCTGTGAAAAATTTAGCATATAAAATGGGGACGATACCAGCGTCAGGCCAGGTTGACAGGCCGGCTGATGAAAACCCGTCACAACAACCATGACAAGTCGCAATAGAATGTGTTAATGCTAGGGACGTCACCCGGAAGTGGCGCGCAGAACCCTCGCCCGAGTTCTGTGGTCAGTATGCGAGGGCTACCGAGGGTGAACGACCTCGGCCAAAGAAGCTAGTTCGAATTGGGACCCTGAACGTGGGGTCGCTTACCGGGAAGTCTCGTGAGGTTGCCGACCTCATGAGACGCAGGAATATCCAAGTCCTATGCCTGCAGGAAACGCGATGGAAGGGTGCGAAGGCCCGCGAGATTGGAGAAGGCGTCAAACTCTTCTACAATGGAGCAGACACCAAACGGAATGG